CGTTATTTCGTCTATCGATTGCAGGTAGTATTAATCTCAAGTGAGTTCACTCCGAACACTACTGGAGACGGGTCCGGAGGGCTCTGGTACCCTTTCATATGTGGAGAAACTCCGGTCGACCTAATAAGGTACCTAAACAAATTTAATTTGTGCTATTCCCCATCATCATTTTAGTCAAAATGTGAAATATATGTATATATACTCTAACTGCTTCTTTAGTCGAGCGGTAACATACGATAAGGTCGCGGGTTAAATTTTTTAATCAGCCAAAACCTTATTGTATGTTTTCCGGTCTTCGAAAATTTCTCAGTTACTGTTTAAAAAGATGACTAGACTAGTTTCAAGCCACACGAGGGACTCATAGTCATGAATAGCATTGTCTGACACATGACGCGGCGAATGAGTTACTATACAAATATCATACTTTTCTTTTTCAGAAAATGGGGCAGTGAAACATACAAATATCTCCATGAACTATATCGGTTAGGTGCGCTTGGAGTGTCTCTCTTACCAGTTTACAGTCTGTACAGAACTAAAGAGAAGTTCTGCAAGCCAATATGGTCGGACATAGTGTACGGGTATCAGGTACTCGATGAGCAACAGCTGAAGGATTGTAGTCAACTGTTCTCTACTGAATATGGGTGAGTAGAGGCTTCCATTTGTGGTAAAAGTTTGCTAGGTTCCGATACATTTCTAGTAGGTATGTATCCGAATTTAGGGAAAGGTTTAAAATCGAATATCGAGCCAATGATGCAGATTAGTAGGTGCTAAGAGGAACTACGAAAAAATGCTTAAAATAATTTAACCACAGTTAGCTTTAGCACATTATATTTATACAGGACTCTCCGGTACCTGTTCAATTATTTATTTCAATATATTTTATCATCATTCTTCATTTCATCATTATACTTGTGCTTACTATCATTCACTTTTATATTCATTATAAATTTAGTGTCAATATTTAAGGTTCTTTTAACCTCCAATAATTTTCACAGAGAGAGCTCGTCTACACCATGATCAAACTAAGGACATGAACACTAAACTGTACCTTACCATGTGTACCTATTATATTTATTATTAACTTATCCTTCAACTATCAAACCTAACATAAACACAATCTAATTGAATTGCTTGGTCTACAAAATATTACGTTGTCTTTAGGTGATCAGCCCTCAGTCATACGCCAAAACTTGTGTACCAAGTTATTCCAAACTACCTAAAAACCAAACTTACATACTTATACAAACAATGAACACATTCCAAAGCCTAGCTAATATCAAATTTCATTCATCTAATTTATTTATTTCATAAGACAAAACCAAAGTGCAGTTGTTATTGTTAAACGGTGTCAAGTAACACGATTCTTTCAATACAATCTGACACTCGGTATGACATCATTTACCTATATGGGCATGGGAACATTCCTTTAATCTGATTAATGTTAGCGAAGTACGAAATTAAAAAAAAAAATCTAAATTACAACAAAAAATTGCAAGATTTAACATTAGTTCATTCAAAATTATATTAAGCACAAAATGATTCAATACAAAAACTAATAATATTGTCAACACGCGTGCACTATATCTAGTGTACACTTATATTATAAATGAAATGTTTAAAAATTATGTAAAATAGCTAAAATTACCTAATATACGTTGGGCCCTTATTAAAATTATGTTTAACTTACTACTAGTTCTATATATTGGTGTCCATTTTCACTTTTTAACTACACTATACTAATACACTTAACATTTTAATACAAAGTACTTTCGAGTCCGGTTACATCGCGTACCCAGCGTGGTCGCCAACATCTCCCGGCTCCATCCTCTAGGACACCAACCGCTCCCGGCAGGTCCACATCTGGCTGCATCGACACCCGGCAGCCAGCAAAAATATCCAGATTTTGTTTTTTTTTTTAGGGCACAATACACTTTTTTAGTCCACAAATTACTTAATTATTTTTAACAAATACAAATATCCAACATTGTACTCGTGCTCAGCGCTGCCCGCGTGGCAGCACTGGCAGGGTCGCCATGCAATGTGGAGCAATGAGGGAGATGTGTTAGTGTTAGGAATATCTTTAATTGAGTGTCTTTACTAACTTATAGGGCGAGGTGTCACTCACACTACACCGTAAAAAATCAAACATCAATAAATCACTCGATTTTCAACCATACTTCTAGCGCCATAACAACGCTTGTCATTTATTGCAGTGCCGGCCACACATTTCTAACATTCGTATTACCAGCACCAAGATTCCTGGCGTACCTTCAGGAAAGGTTTGAGCGAGCTAATGGCAAGCTACTGCGAGCGAAGATCACATCACTTCAGGATCCTGTGTTGGAGCCGTTTGATGTGGTGGTTAACTGCACCGGTTTGGGCGCCCGGTGGCTTGTGCCTGATGATGCAGTGGTCCCGGTCAGAGGGCAGATTACTAAGGTCAATATTTTCCACAAAGGTAAAAAATATTGGCAAAAAACCAATTGTGGATAACGCAATTGGTTATCCCGTAAGAATGGAACCGGCGCTGACTCCACCCGGCAGTCAAACTATAGATTTACAGATTATCACAGTTATTATTCCGGGGTAACTAGACCTCTGCCTGCCCTTTTCCGGTAAAAACTGGTTAATCGATAAGAAAGTGTACACTTAAATATAAATAATCCAGTTTTTACCAGTACGAAACTAGTTAGAGTTTACAGTCTTCTTAAATAAAATCGTTTACTAAACAAAAACGCAATTGTTGTGTAACTGATAATAGTGTTTGTGTAACCTGCAGGTGAAGGCTCCGTGGATGAATCTGGTGGTCATTGACGAGGAGGGCGGCAACTACATCATACCCAAGTAAGTTTATGCGCAATACATTTTATGCTAAGTATGCCGCGTATTGAATCATGTGATAAACGATAAAGTCATACAGATTCATGAGGATTTTTAAGTGTGGGAGAACCATGCTTCGGTACGAATGGGCCGAAACGATCGGAGTGATACCACGGCCTCACAGAAAACAGACGTGGAATAGCTCTCGTGTTGTGTTTTGACGTGTGAGTGAGTTTACCGGAGCCCAATCACCCCCCTCCCCCTCCCTGATCTCGCTAATCTCAATGAATGAATCCCCAATAGGTGCACAAAGCACAACTTACGTACCAGGTTTCTTTTTGGCATTACCATATACCCGGAACTTTTTCAGACTCTGACTGTAATGATGAAGTATTTCTTTAATATTTCCAGTTCAGAGACGTGTGTGCTGGGCGGCACCCACCAGAGCGACTACTGCACAGATGTATACGCAGGCGATACTGAGTTTATCATGAACGGGTGCAAGAAGATGATGCCTGGATTGGAAGTGAGATACATCTAGATTTGTACAGTATCAGTGACCAGGAAAACAAACTATTATTTTCTATCACTTTATTATAATTTAAATTTTATTGTTTTGTTATAAAGTTAAAAATGTAATTATAAAATGGATAGTAGGTTGTTCTGCTGGCCACTTTACTTGACATCAGTGTGATAAGTTATTAATTTTATTTTTGTTTTATAAAAAACGTTGGCCCGACAATAGAATTTTCTTCTGTGTCGTGGTTGTCATTTACAAACATACAAGTTCACAAGCACATGACATCCAGACCCGGAACAACAATTTGTGCATCACACAAAAAGTTGCTTCGTGCGAACCCGCTACAATTAGCGCGGCAGCCGGTTGCCCAGCCCCCGCACCAAAGTCCTGTTATGAGAATAAAGTACACCAAACTTAAACTAAGATTATATATGTTTGTTATGTACATACATATTATAAAGAGAAAGAACCTCTATGTACAATCTGGAATTTATTGTTTTATCTATTACCAATTTTGTCAGGAAATCCGAAGGCCGGTGGACAGTGGACACATAGTACACATATGCTAAGGCTCCAGACAGACGGATCGCATTTCAACTGCAATCCAACCGTAAATTCCAGTTCGGATGCAGTCACAACTGCAATTTAAACAAGGAGTTCGATTGCAGTACTATTGCAGTCATGACCAAACGGTTGCAAACCAAACGAACAGTCTGATTGCAGTACTATTAAAGTCGTATCAACTATCGCCAACAACAACAATCGACTATTTCTTAGACACTATCAGATCTTCTTATAAGAAAATAAATATATTATTTTCGTTTCAGAATGCGGAAGTAGTGAAGCACTGGGTTGGACTGAGACCTGTAAGATATTCCATCAGATTGGAGCCTGAGGAGAGGAATGGAAAGCTATACATACATAATTATGGACATGGTAATAGATTTTGAACTTTTTTACTGAATGGTAAAGTCGAAAATTGATTGAAGATTTATTGTAGTAATAGATTTTTAATTTTATGGCGAAATTATAAGGTTAAATATAGGTAATGTGCCATGGGGGGATGGAAGAACATACACGATATGATTGTCCTAATTGACGATAATTATACAAGTTAAAGAAACTACAAAGTTATCTTTATGCGCCTCAATGGGTAGGAGGTACAGTTGAGTTTGTTTCGGCATTTCTTCTCAGAGTAGTCAGTTAGGAAATGTCGGCCTCATCGTTCGCTTGATAAAATTGACGTGTAAAAGTGCTGCCTTGTAGCTTATTTGCAGAAATAAATTCACTTGTTTCACTAGTACTTCTTGCCAGTTAGGCGGAGATGGAATTTTGTATTAGAATTTATTTTGATGTAATAACAATCCTGAGACATACTTGATTAATCATGAATTCATTTTATTTATTGATTTATTTAAAAATAAACTTTACACACTAATTGCAGATTTTTTTCAAATGCGACAATATTTTCATTATTTTAAACACAAATTTTTCAGGTGGAAGTGGCTTCACTCTATTCTGGGGCTGTGGTGACGAAGTTCTTAAAATATTACAAACGCATTTGGATAAAAACAAACAAATACTTTCAAAACTTTAATGAAACCATAATAATAAGTATATAAAAATAACGTATAATAAAATAGTAACATTTTAATATATTAAATAAAACAATTATGTATATAAGAATAAAACTTACTTAAATGTTTTATTTTAATCAATTGCAGCACTTGTTCCCTTTTGGTTTAAAACATTTCATCTTCAGCTCCCACCATTTTGTATTTTCTGAGAAGTTATTGAGATGAAGGATTTTGCTTCTTATCAATCAGTTAAAATGATAGTTCTGTAATTTAAAAATCAAAATCATTTATTTTATTTAGACAGAAGGCACTTTTGAACATCAAACAAGATATTAAAAATAACAGTCTGTCGGTCAGAGGACTCTCTAGTCATATTTGTTCGTTCCAAAGTGTATTAACGATCTTGTATTGTTGAGAATATGTACTTTAGGAATGCTCTAAACAATTTTCATTGTTTTGTCTCCAATATATTTCTGAGATTTTACTAAAAACTTTAATTTGAAAAATCAATGAAGAAATCCTTAATGAATCCTTTCAATGCATTTTGGTTAGGCCAAAAACCTTCGAATTATTATCATACCTATTACATGGGACTTATAACATAAATAATGAAAGGTGAGTGTTACTTCTCTGTGCCTACCCCTACGGGGATAAAAGGCGTGATGTTATGTTATGTATTTATGATATTATTTATAATAAAAAAAGGGGATGAGCCTATTGCCATATACCAGGCACAATTCCAGATTTCGTGCTACTACTGAGATTAAAAAAAAACCCCAGTAATACTGTGCTCGACCCGGGAATCGAACCCGAGACCCTTTGCCCAGCAGTCGCACTTGCGACCACTCGGCCAACGAGGCAGTCACTTACACTTACAAAATAATACCAATTTCAGCAATAGACACGAAAACGTAAAATAGTATTATGAAATCGAATCTATTGTTTCTTTAACAGATTTCTGTAAAATAAAGAGATAAACAAATATACACAAAATACAGATTCGTTACCAACACTTGGCGTATTGGCATAACAACTACATATCAAGATAAGATAGACCTTACTCCACAGTTAACAGGGTATATATTTCTTTGCAAGGATAAGGCCAAGTATGGTGTTGGTACAAAACTAAGACATTGGTTACATACTCAACTTTTGGTATAAGAGACGGTGTCGTACAAATCCGTTCTCCTCTGCGCTCTGATTGGAATCTGACTCCTTACTTGCTCTAGCGGGTCCAAATCTAGAAAGATATTGTTATAATTAGATAAAATTGGAAATCGGTTACCTTCAGTTAAGTGCGGAACAGCCATGGTACGAATGGGCCGGCTCGACCGGAGTGATACCACGGCCGAGCAGGAAACCGACGTGAAACAACGTTTGCAAAATCACCCTCTCTCTCCCCCGTCCCCAATATCCCCAATCCCTAAATCCCCAACAATCCTAATTGCTAAAATCAACATCAAGTTTATCGCGGTCATACAGACGGACAGAAGAAAAAAGAGACTTCTATTTCCAAAACATATGTACGGTCAAAGGTCAACCACTGCCACCGTAAGTCTACTATCGGTTGCGCTGCAGCGCTTATACACACATGCACACGCATATTTGTATATGTGTGCGTACGCGTGCGTGTGTTTATGCGTACGTACGCGTTTTTATGCACATTGGTATGAAATTACTTACGCATTGCCGTGTGAACATCGCTCACGGTGGCAGCGGACTTTTGACCTTTGACTGTACATACAAATAGATACGAAAATACTTTTTTCACCGATTTAAAAAAGAATGTCAGTTTGAACTGTATGTATGTATGTTTGCGCGCAATTATCTCGCGATTGGCTGAACCGATTTGTTGCGGTTTTATGTTTGTTACACCTAGAAGGTTTTTAGTGTACCTATAAATACCCGACTTCAAAAGAGGGGATTAAGTACTTTTTTGTAAACTTGATTTTTTAATTAACTGAAATGAGCAGCGTGCGCGGTCGCGGCGACGACATGAGGACGAACCCGTCTGTGGTTCGAAACTAGTAGAGCTTTTCTCAGTATATTAACGTGACCCGCGACTTTTAGTTAATTTAGTGTCTCACGATAGTTATTACAAAAACACTTGGTTTTTTAAAAGAATTATACTAATTATAATATTATGCAAGGACATAGAAGGAGATAACTTACCAACAGTACCACAGAGCTGTCCAGGTTTCTCGTCCAACTCGGCCACGACGGCTCCCCAGGGGTTGATGAGCATGGAGTGTCCCCAGGCGACGTAGTCTGCCGCGGCGTCCCGCGCCGGCGACACCAGCGCCACCCACAGCTGCAGGTCGTTGGCGCGCGCGCGGCCCAGCAGCTCCCAGTGGCACGGACCCGTCGCCATGTTGAAGGCTCCCGGGTATATCAGCATGGAGCAGCCTGCAAATGTTATTCTAATTAGCTACATTTCAATTCATACGTGGTTGTTGTCACCACAGGGCCACTCAACTCAGTTCGTAATCTTTGATCTTTGTACTCAAACCACTCAAATCTTTGAAATTACTACAGAATGAAGTTATGTAGTTCTAAAGCTTATTTTATTTTACTTTGTCAAGACTTTAAACGAGATTGTGACTTCCGAGTTTGTTTCAGTGTTTCTTCTCGGGATAGTCAGATAGAATATACGTGTGGGAAAGCCATGCTTCGGCACGAATGGGCCAGCTCGACCGGATTGATACCACGGCCTCACAGAAAACCGACCTGAAAGAACGCTTGCGTTGTGTTTCGTCGTGTGAGTGAGGTTACCGGGGTCCCAATTACCCTCCCCTGCCTCAATCTCCCCAATCCCTGAATCCCCAACGATCCTCAAACTCCTAATCCCCAAAAGGCCGGTAACGCACTTGTAAAGCCTCTGGTGTTCCAGGTGTCCATGGGCGACGCCGATTGCTTACCATCAGGTGATCCGTCTGCTCGTTTACCGGCTTATGCCATAAAAAAAATACCAGTTAAAATAGTTATCGTTCAAAAATGCTATTATTTATTGCCATTTTAATTACTTCAGTAAATTTTCGACTATATTACAAAATGTCAAGAGTTTAAAAACGATTGCAGTGGCAGATAGCCAAATCTTTGACTTTTGACTTAGAATTGTAAAATCTAAAGGAAGCCCTTGGATAACAGAGGCAAGATAGAAAATATTTTTCGAATATGTTTGCTGCCATACTAATTGTGCTTCAAATAACATATTAATATAGACTATTTTATTATTATTACTTACCTTCTTTAGCCATAAGCTGTGCCATCTCAAAGAAGCGCAGATCGTAACAGATGCCGAGCCCTATCTTCACGCCGTAGCAGTCAAACGTCGTGATACTGTCGCCGGCAGTCAGCACGTCTGACTCTTTGAACCTTATCTTGCCGGGAATGTCTATGTCGAATAGGTGGACCTAGCACAAATTATATTGTAAAAAGTTCATACACTTTTGCCCCATTTTAAAGGAGTTTCAACTTTGTTACAAAATTTTAAGGCTGAAAATTTATTTCACAAGATTATTAGTAGGTATAGATATACATGACAGTGTCTTTATTTTTTGCCCACAATCAATAGCCTAGATATAAGTTACACTTCCCCAATAGAATGATTTTTCAATAAGAAACATAATACGAAATCTTGATTTAAGGCATTGGCTGCCAATAAAAAACTGTTGAAGGCAAATCCTCCGCTAATGTCGGTCACCAGTGACTGCCATGGCGTTTAACGTGTTAATTCGTATTTTATGTATTAAGATCTATGATGTTGTCACAACATTTTTTTTTATGGGACAAGCCCGCCACAACCTCCCAATACCGCTGGAACTCCTGTAAGCCAGGATCTACAGTAGATACAACCATGAAAACACCGGAACACTGAAGTCCGGCGCGCCCCAGGGACGTGAATAACTGTCTTGGTTCCCGCAACGAAGTGAATCAGAAGATATTAAAAGCGGAGAAGAAAAAACGATAGTTTCCGCTTCCCTCGGAGAATTACTGCAGGGGACAGAATGAATTAAGCCTAAAGGCACAAAAAAGAGATTGTACAACTGGGTGAAGCACGGAAATTTGACTAAAATCTAAGTGGGTCCTACGTGTGAGCTGTTATACTTGCTTCCAATAATAGGTATGGCAAAAGCGCCTAAACGCACGGAAATTTGTTCTTAATTCCACAACAGCGTTATCAAAAACTATATTATACCGACCCTATTTTTACAGGCAGGTCTTTCTTACCTTCCTGTGTTGCGCAACGAGATCCCCAGCACAATCCCACACAGTGCAAGTATTGTACAGTTTGTCCCCGCATCGCTCGGGCATAGTGCCTCCCACTACATACACGCCGGCCTCCTGCGCCGCCCGCTTTAGGGCAAGACAGGACTCACCGTCTGGCACGCTCTCCGCATATTTGGCAAAGTACTCTGTAAAACAAATACTCTATATATACTATATTCTATAATACTCTAGATATTAGACTATCATGAACAATCTGTGAGACAAATAGACATGGCGTTTGTTTGTTCTCCATAGGACTGACTCCGATACAGACACTTGGCATTGAAATATTATTTTGTTGTTACACAAGTTACTAATATAAAATAAATTCTAATTTGACGCCAAAACATTATCTTCATTTTCTTTGATTTTTTCAGTTTTTTTTTTCTTACAACCGTTGCCCCACACTAGGATTTTCTCTTCTGTCGTGGGTGCGTTTACAAACATACAAGTTCACATACACATTACACCCAGACCCGAAACAAAGCCATCAGACCGACACGGATATGGCCCAATTAGGGCTGATGCCGATCCGGCTCGAAGTGCAGGAGTAAGAACGGCGTAGTTTTTAGTCAGTAAGATTCTGACACTCCCTCCCGCTTCGCCCAGACGGAAGAAGACGGGAGAAGACATTCGATAATTTTCCACCGTTAAAACAAAAGACCCGGAACAACAATCTGTGGACCACACAGTTGCGGCGCAGTCAGTTGCCAAACTATCGCGCCAACCATGCAGTCTTACCTTACATCGGTCTCTCAGTCTCTACCAAATGTATAGTCGCTTCGTCTCAATGACTACAGTGAAAATTAATCCAACTATTTTGTTCTCAACATCCATTGTGATAATGGACATAACTTGTGCAATAAAATGTAGCTTTGTCCTCCTCAAGAAGGAGACAGTGAGCTACACATTTTGTTTTTAAAAAACCTTTAGTTTATCTCAGTGGCATATTAATTGTGGAGAGATATGTAGACAGAAAGGCCTGCATGAGCTGATGATTATGATGAGAACTTACTAGTGCCATAAGGTGCATTGAAGAACTCCGGCAGTGCCACAAGGTGAGCCCCATTTGCTTTGGCTAGGTGTATCTGTTTCACTGCTTCTGTTACATTTTGGTGCTTGTCCATCCCCACTGCCAACTGGACAAGCACTACTTTCAAGCCTGGAATATAAATATCTTGTTTATGTCTTGTAGGGACACCAGCACATCAAGCCAACCCAATCGTCATCCGATTTTCACCTTTATTAGAGAAGCATAAAGATGATAATCTATTAACAAAGTCAGTTTGAAGTACTTAATGTGCGTAAATGTGTTAGAATACAAATGAAAAATATTTAATACCTACTAAAGAAAACCAAAGACCAAATTACTTGAAACCTAAAAGCTATTTCTGTTGAATTACTTAGACTACTTAGAGGTTATTATTATTTTTATTTAGTTACTTATATGCTGATGAAATTACACTCCAAATATGAATAAAGACGAGACGACGAGAAAGATATGAATAAGTGAAGTGAGTCTAAAAAAGCCTACAAACTGACATTAAAAAAGAATAAATCATTTACATGTCATACAACAACAATATTGAGAGCTGAATCGAGCAATCATAGACTTGTACAAATATTTTTTGGCTGGAGATATCAAAGGCACTGAAACTAAAAAAGATATATTAGTCTTTTATTAAAATGTTAGGTACTATAGGTAATAGGTATGCAGAATGTTTCTTAAAAAAATATCCATCATTTTTATAGCATGTTATAGAAAATAATACAGTTTTATATGCCACTATGCTTTCTATATTGATAAGGAGCCAAGTGCTTGTTTGCATAATATATTATACCACTTTAAAGGAATTATCATACTAGTGTTGTTTGGAGTGTGAGGGTACCTACACTGTAAATGCACCCATAAATCACTTCGTACAAAGTAAAAATATCTTTAACACACTGATTTTAGGTTTATTTTTCTTTCAATGTTAATTTAAAGGTTATCATAGCCTTATGATAATGTAAAGGGAACTTTAAAATATTAAACCAAATCTTCATTTAGGTATTTCACTTTATTAGTTTCATAGCAGATAAGATGTTATTGACCTATTATTTACTTGCAGTGAATTGGAAAACATGGAGGTAGTTAACCTTACTTTTTATGAAGAAACGAGTTAGTAGAAGTAGGGGTAGAAAGGTCTACAAGAAAGTTTAAGAATTAACTGGGATACTGTACCACCAACGCCAACATTAACGACAGGTTTCTCTAAAAACCGGGGATGCACGGCATCGGTAGCAGATGTAGACGCGGACATATTCACAGTTCACACGTTACAACTTTTAACTATACAATCAGTTGTTTACCTCTTTTGAGCATGATTCGTGTTACACAACTGAGATGTTAACAATCCGATCTCAGTGTATATGTATTCTTCGTATTATCAATGAAATAACAACGATATCAGACAGCAAGAAGTCAAAGTAACTTCACTTGACAGATATTATTTATTTTGGAATTTTTGACATTAGAATCAGCTGATGTGACTTGAGAACCGTTCCAAACTATGTTCACGAGGCTTGGTTTTGCACCTTTTTAAAAAGTAAGTTTTTGATTGTAATAAATAAATAATCTTTAAAAAAACGTCTGTTTCGAATAGAATCCAAATTCATCTAATTCATAGATTTTTTTGCTCAATGAATTTAATAAATTTTAAATATTTGGTAGGTGTACCTAGATGTGTTCACTAGCTTTGTACATGACACTGGTTTTTTTAGGGGTATCATTATCCAGCCTCCTCCCGCCTTGGGTGAGGCGAGAGTGTTACGACTCTTACTAATTAAAAACCCCCTTTTTCTACTTCTGCTTCGAGCCGGATCCAGTAAACCGCTAAGCCATCAGCAGCTCCAAATCGGGTATCAGCCATACTGGGACCCATCTGTGGTGGTCTAATGACATGATACTCATAACATAACTGGCGAGCAGTAAGTATTATGGCAGTGGACACAATTTTAAAATTCATTATCAGATGGGTTATAATCAGGGTGGTAATTAGCAGTGTCACCAACATCAACCATATTGCAGGTTGCATATGGTTGATTTAAAAAGCAAAACGCGTCAGCCTCTGTAAGCCAGCCAACGTGTCTAACTGTGGCCTTGCACTTCTTCAGTAAAAGATTTTACATGATGGTAACATTTTCCATCTTTCTTCTTTTAATTTAAATTCTTGTCACTTTTGGTACAGATAGTAGGTAGACGAGTAGAATTAACCGATTGGGACAATAATTATAATGAAACAAAATAGTATGTCCTTAACGATATTTTTATTGTAAAGCACATAAATATACATAAAATTATCGTTTCAATTATGATCACAACTTATACTTTACTCAGATGAATAAAAGTAACTTGAACTATACCATGTATCTAAATAGCATTAAGCTTGGTAAACACAAAACTTTTTTTATAAGTATAAAATGGTTTACAACATGAGCATAGAAATACAACATAATATTATGCATGGAGGAAAATTATGCATCAATAGCTGCACAAACAGGCATTCTTTGCCAGTAAATAAAGTAACTGTATAATAATAAACTTTATTGAAAGCAAATTACAGAATAATAAATAACTTTTGCTGTATGCAAGACTTCAACAATATTATGACATGCTACGCCAAAGCCATAATTGTGGTTTTATAAAAAAAACTACAATGAACTGTTAAATAAATAAATGCATCTGAATCTCTAAATAGGCGGTGCTATTTATTTATTATACAAAAATTAGTAAAATATGTTTTAACTATGAAACTAAGGCTAAGGCAAGTATCCTATTATTTATTTTTGATATTATGGCCATTGCTTATACCTAAATGTAGTGGCCAGCAGATAAACCTACTCCTTTCTTTTTTATTACATTTTCACCTTTATTGTTTTGATCATATAGTTGAAAATCGAATAAAAGAACTGATAGATACATTATAGGCCTCGGCCTAGCACATTATAGCACTTGCTAATACTCGTATTAGCAAGTGCGACTGGCAGGCAAAGGATCTCAGGTTCGATTCCCCGATTTAAAAAGACCTGCTGTACCTATAGGTCATTCTATATTGCAAGTCTCCTCTAAAAAGGCTCGATGCGAGCCCTAATCAAACGTATACATACTATACATATCTAGTTCATAACGTAATTTACTATTTAAATTGTATAAAAATATTAAAACTACTTTCAATTAAAATTTTACCGTGTTGGTACATCAACGAGAGCTACCTCTTTTATTCACTAGATGGCGCTAAAATAAAATAGTCAAAATTACCTAGTGGCAAGCTATTCTCACTGTCTATGGTGATGCGCCCAACATAATTGTTTTTGAATGTTATTATAATATTTATTTTCAATATGTGCTATTGTTATTAATATGTATGTGTAATGTAATGTTGTACTTGTTATTATTTTTTTTATTTATTTTTTATCCATTTATTTCGATTTTTGGCCGTAATCGTAGCTGTTGATTTTGTTTTCACTTTTAAATTAATTCACTATATTATACATCATGCTGTACTCCGAGCAGCGTTAATGTAGATGTTTACACGTGTTAGTACGTATTATAACGGGCTGGTGCTGAAAATCAGCGCCTTGGGCTCGAGCCTCTGTGCCCGGTCCACGGTATTAAGCTGAGCTCCAGCCTTTTGCGCTGCGACGCACTATGGGCTTTTTTTCGGTATTTCTAAATTATTATTGTGTGTCGTAGCAAAATAAATGGTTTTTCTTTCTTTCTTTCTTTCTTTCTATTGGACGTTACATTTTCGAGACCTACAGTGATTGGACAAACAGAAACAGATCTTGCGCTACTTTAGCGCCATCTGTTGAGCAAAAACACCCTCATAATCTAAAAGCTACAATTTACGGTAGACTAAATAATACTACATACCTAATACATATTTATAAATAGTCTTGTTTTATTCTAATATTAATTTCAACTACTAGTTCGGTGTTTCTATTATGCACAGCTTACATCGTTATGTAAAATAAGTTTTAATTAATTGCTTAAATTATTTATTTTGTTGATTTTCTAAATCATTCATCATAGTATGTAGACCTACCGAATGTAAAAGGTACTTTTGATTGTATTTACCACATATTAGTAGACATGAATCACAGCACTTACAATGCGAATTTACCGTTGTTTACAAAATTAGGAATCTGATTTTATATTCGTTGTTTTTTATGAGATTTTCACAGATCGTCAAAGTATTAATTACGTCTTAGATTCGTTATATCAAACGTACGTATTACAAACTCGTACTAAGGAACGTTTCTTCAAAATATTATGCTAACTTTAAAGTAGATGAGGAGTCTCCCACCTGGTGGGAGCAACGGCAAGAACAAATACTTTATTAGATGTTTGGACGGCTACCACTACTCAACCCACCACTGGTACCATAGCTGACGCTCATGAAGCTTCATGGCACGACTCCTAGAAGCATCACACAAGTTATTGACTGAGAGAAAATAGGTAATAAAAATTAGTGCCTGGCAATATGGATATATTGTGATATGGTGTTCCTGTGCCCGGCGTACAGTGGTGCGCAATTTGAAGTTAGGAATTGTGACAAAAATATGAATAATTTGAATAAAAAAACCAAAGTACAATGTTTGACTCCGGCTCCTTTCAACGCTTATAACTCAGTCCAGACTGACATTTCCATATATGAGCCCATAGACAATTTCCTTTGTAATGTCATTTTAGATAACATTTCCATAAATCATCGACTGCCGCCAAAAAAAAGGAAGGCACCAATTTTAATCAATGCTCTTTCATACCCTTCACATATATCTTTTTCTAATTATATCTTAGAATTAAGTAAAATCGCGGGTTACTCACGTGAATATACTGAGAAAAGCTCTACTAGTTTCGAACCACAGAGGGGTCTGGTCCGGACAGTCTGGAGTATGACACAGTAAGCGTTATATGCAATATTCACTTTGTGCCGAACCCGGAATCAAACCCACGACCCGCGCCGCTGCGCTGGTGAACGTACCGTCTGCTTTAACATCGGAGTTGGAAGCAAACGCTCGTGGTGTCCGACAGAGGGCGCGATGGGCTCGCAGCGCAAGTAGCAACACCGAGGCGAGCGCCAAGGCCAGCCAGTGAGCTGCGCGACGTCGCCGCGATCGCGCACGCTGCTCATGAGGAAGAACCCCTCTGTGGTTCGAAACTAGTAGAGCTTTTCTCAGTATATTCACGCGAGTAACCCGCGATTTTACTTAATTAAGTATGTCTCACGATAGTTATTATAAAAATATATCTTAGAATATAAATTCATTGGTGGGTTCCTTCTGTTCCTGCTTGCGTCTCTCCAACCGACTCCGACTGATGTATGGCGCTGGTTGCTTGAGGTGTACAGTTCTAACGTGTAGCTTCCTACTGTTGGACTGTGAGAACCCTTTACCACATACTTCGCATTCATAGGGCTTTTGACCTGTGTGCGTCTGAAAGTGAAGAAGAGAAATAAGTTGATTATAATAACATCACATCACATCACGCCTCTTATACCCGGAGGGGCAGGTAGAAGTGCACATTACGACACTTAAATGCCACTGTACAATGTAACACCCACTTTTCACTATTTATGTTATGAGTCCCAAGTAATAGAGGCTTAGCCCATTGCTATATACCGGGCACAATTCCAGACTAAAGTAGTAGCATTACTACTAAGATTTTTTTTTTAATCCAGTAATACTTTGCGTGACTCGGGAATCGAACCTGAGATCATTTGCCTGCCAGTCGCACTTGCTAATACTCGGCCTATAATGTATTTATTATTTAATATTCTGCCTCTCTAAATGTGAGACAAGAATTGCTCGATAAACAACTGAAATGTAGAAGTCACTAGTGAATTTGCGATTTGTCGGGTTATTCTAGTCAGAGATACCAGTCAGAAAACATTTACTAAATGTTAGGGATCGTTTCTAGAAATCACTTAGAAATATAATTTCATTTGAAACTCAAGAGTCAGATTTTCACAGTACAGTACCTATTAGAATTTTTGACTTCTGTTTTAAGAATAGTAATTAAAATGCATCAAAAATGTTTACTACCAATGTCCGTCTTGAACCGGTAAAAAAGGCTGACTGCCATTAAATATTTATTTATGTTTGTTAAAGACTTGAGGTAAAAATAAAAAATAATTATTGGAGACAAAATGTGTGTGCGCAGTAGATTCTGGGATATCTGACTGCCGGCGCGTTTTTCTCTCACCCCTTACCCCTGCGCGGGGGTTCGTTTAAACGTATTACTTATTTTTTTAATTAAATTTAAATTTTTTAATTTATTTATTACACCCTGGAGGACTTACAGCTAAAACTACATAAAAATAGAAGCCAACATAAACTACTGAAAGCCAATTACCAGTCCTCACGTATAATGACAGACTTAAATTTGATAGGTGAGCATATCAAAATTTTCGCAGTGGTTACAGCTTATTAAAATTGTACAGTTTATTAAACCAGTTAATTGCAAGGATCAACTAGAAACTAGTATTAACTAGAAACCTTTAGTTACAAGAATAAGTAAATGATAAATTATTATAAACATTTCCGAAAACTAGGGATACAATTGAAATGCTACTTAAAAAACTTGAGGCTTATGCGTCTTCTGCGCCGACGCCACGCTAGTCGCAAAGGGATCAAAGTCATACTGCTTACATATTTAAATGTCTTATTGCTTATTGGCATGGCTTATTTAAATGGCTTATTTAAATGTCTACCCACTCGTATAATAAAACTATTCTGTCTGTAATTTGTTGATGCTAGAAGCACACGTAAGGGTGGGTTATTGCGGAATATTTTTTGCGGTATATTAAAGTGAAATTTAGATAGAAGTTCGGGGCTGTCAATATTATTATTTAAGATTTTTAATACGTACAAAAAGTCGGCAATCTCACGTCGATCTTTGAGAGGTAATAAATGATATTTCTTACAGAGTCGAAGATAATCGACGGAGTGATAAGTATTTTTTTGATGAAAACAGATATATTCAATGAAACGTCTTTGGGTGTTTTCTATGCAGTCGATGTACTTATGGTAATGTGGGTTCCATATCTGAGATGCATACTCAAGCTGACTTCTAACAAAGGTGCAATACAAAATTTTAACCCTCTTATTAATAAACATAGAATAGAGTAAGAATAACTTTATTCCATGGTTTAGGCTCAGAATAGTCAAATTCGGTATTAATAAATAAGGAGTAACGTCGGACTAGGCTATTCCAACGTTAGTCTGAGAATAAAAGTTAGTCCATGGTGCCACATGGTTTAGCGACGGTGTAAGTTTGGATTAGTGTCATTTTGACATTTTGTTGACAGATATTTTTTTCTTCTTTATTGACAATGAGTTTCCATCAAGTTTCCAATATGGTTTTGATGACCAGTATCGAGTGGTGTACGGCATTATCAGATAAAACCTATTTTATTATAACCTTGCGTTGCGGCATTACTAAGAAGTATACAGGTACAAGACTAGCTATACCCCCACGACTTCGTCCGCGTATTATAATACGCGGATATAATAATACACAAATCTCATCAAAATCGATTCGGTACTTGTTATATTTATTGTAAAATGTATTTTTTTTCGTGATTTCAAATAATAAGCATTCGCACATAGGTTTAATCCGTGTAGTGTACATTCCCGTGAGTTATCAGTAAGAAAAAATATATTCAATGCCCTTTCCTGGGTTGCAAACCAATGTTGTACTGAATTTCAATAAAATAGGTTCAGTGGTTTAAACGATAGAGTCCCGGAATATTAAAGCATAGATCCTTTCCCGTGGGATTTCCGGGATAGAACTATTATCTTTCTTATTTATAATATTAGTGCAGATTATGAGTAACTATAGGTACTAGCTTTGGAAGGAAGACGCGGATGACGAACAAACAAACAGACACACACACTTACTCATTTATAGTATGGATTCGATTTTTACGTAAAAACGCAACAACTTTTTATAAATAAAACGTCATACTATCATTGTAAAACGTGGTAAAATGGATAGATATTATTTTATTCAACATCTGAGTTATTGAGAGAATTAGAGTTGATGAGGTTGAAAATCGACTTCGAGTATAGAAGTGTGTAGGACTAGCTTTTCTGCCAGCGGCTTCGCCCGCGTTCCCGTGGAATAAAAAGCCTTCGTGTCATTTTAGAGTTCCAGACCCCTGACCCCTTAATAGACCCCTGTATCAATTTTCATCTCGATCCCTTCAGCCGTTTTGATGTGAAGAAGTCACAAACATTCAATCTTTCGTATGAATATAATATTAGTATAATAGAGAAACGTGAAGAAGAAGAGAAATCAAAATACCGATTTACTGCAGTTTTTATTATTAACATGGTTAAAAATAGTCTAGCTGGTGACGCAAGAGGTGGCTTTATACCACCATTTGAAACTTTTGAGTGCAATCGGAATATAGGCCCGAGGAGAGGTAAATATCAATCCAAGTAGCCTGTTGTATTAGCTTCTTGTTTTCAAGCATTGATCTTCATGGCTTTCTACTGAATTTTCAGCTGACTTAACTCACGTCTGCTATTCAACTCGATAAACCTAAAAAAATACATAAAATGAATGTAAATATGATAAAATGTTTAGCCAAATAACTACAGCATTATGTGATTCAGATACTTTAGGTTAACATAATACACACTGCCTACATATTCAGCTGCATGCTTGATCTTATTATCTCTGAACAAATTTGATCTGAACAAATGGAATAAAATAAAAATGCTGAAAAAATCTTACTTTGTATAGGTATGTATAATATTTACTCCCACTCTTTCATCTTAATTGTGTTGGTGTTTGTGCTTAACGATTTATTTTCAATGATTTGAAAATATTATTTAGGAACCGAGGCGTTATAATTTTATGGCTGAAATCTAAAAATATATAAACAATATGAAGACATTTTTTCTTTGTTAAGATACGCCATAATTAACAGGCATCGGAAGTATTTACCTTTTATTCTTTGCGCTAGTTAATAGCGCGGCTGTGCTTTTCGCTCGTTTTTCGTTATTTATAAATTGAATTGTATTTATTATAAGAAATTAATAATATTTCGACGAACGTTTTTAAACAAAACTGACAGCGACAGCAATTTGTCAAGATGTCAAGCTAACATACATGTGTCAATAAAGCAGTGATTTCATAGGTTTCATACGATTTCATACCTCCTTCTCAGTCTTTTTACTTTTAAAATTTCTGGGTTACCATAATAAACGGATTAAACCTAGTATAAGGATAGTATTGTTATTCCGAGGTTATTCCATGTTTATTAATAGGAATTCAATTCTGAAGTTAATACTTTGTTAGTCCGGGATTAGCTAGTCCAAGACTAATCTGTGAATAGGTTTGGAATAGGAGATTTTTATTAATAAGACCGTTAGTGTTTTGGCGTTATTAAAGCACTTAGAAAGACGCATAATAAACCCAAGCAATTTAGAGGCTTTTTTGATAATAGTGTCAACGTGGGTGTCAAAAACTAATTTGCTATCTTGATGCACACCTAAGTCACGGATGGTATCACACCTTGGCAAAGTCTGGCCCGATAAGATGTAGTAGTACGGGAGCTAGCAACGTTTGGAAAGTAAGAATTTTAGGTCAGCTGATTTTGTGATATGTCGTCCTTCTTGCACTTTCGGTTAGCGTCTGGGCTATCTGGCTGGCGGTAGCGGTTGCGTTCTTTAGTGCGCATCCTACCTATCCAGGTAATAATTCTGGATTTTAAAAACATTTTAGAAGGCGTAATTTTTAATTTTTTGTTTTTAAATAAGTCTACCTGAAATACTTTTTTTATTGCCAGACATTTTTGACAATGCTAACTATGTGCCAGACGCGATTTTATGTTTTTATTTTATTAAAATTTCAAAGTATTTTATAATGTCTGTAATTTTAATATTACGTTATTTAAAGATAAAAAAAACTTAAAATAAATTTGCCAGACATTAATTCCATTGTTAAGTCTTGAATTTAAATGAAAAAGTCATGAAAAGTATTGCAGTATAATGCTAGTAGTCCGAGAGAGTCAGTTGCAGAATAAGTTGAGAATGATACAGAGAACCATTACGAAAGTAAATGACTTTTCATTGTGCATATAATAATAAATAATAATAATAATAAGATTCAAATATCGAACCAAATCCCCTCAATTAAATGAAACTCACTTGGCTCAGGCCCGTGATTTCATTAAATAACCAGTATTTTTATAATGCCGAGAAAAACTTAATTTCGAAGATAATAATAATCATTCTAGTCCGAGCAAGAGCTCGTCAAGTACCGTCATTATAGACACAATTATAGAACAATAGGTTGCGGTCACCGGTGACCGAAACAAACATGTGACATTAGAATGACGCCATCTTGCAAACTTGCCTGTCGCGTCACAGTCGTTGTCTATCTCTCTCGCACCTTCAGCCGTCTCTGTCGGACTACTAGCATTATACTGCAATACTTTTCATGACTTTTTCATTAACCGACTTCAAAAAAGGAGGAGGTTATACGTTCGGCTGTTGATTGTTTGGGCTTGATTAATTTGTATTAATGAAGACTTTACACCTGGATAGAGTGAGGTTGTCATTAAGGGTCTGATGATGAAGAAGTGTAATTGTTAAGGAAACTCCTCAACGGTATACTGTAACTACCTTGTGTTTGGGCTTGTATAATTTGTATTGATTAGAACTTTGCACCTATGTAGATTATAAGTAACAAAACGGGTATAATTAGTAGCTTTACACTGAAAATAATAAAATAAAAACTGCGTTTAAATAACCGACTTCAAAAAACCAAAAACTAATAACAAACAAAAAGTCAAAACTAAAAAGCAAAAAATAACTATTATTAGTACTGATAGGTTACCCACCCACTGATAGGTTAGAAGTTAATTCAAGACTTAACAATCGAATTAATGTCTGGCAAATTTATTTTAAGTTTTTTTTATCTTTAAATAACATAATATTAAAATTACAGACATTATAAAATACTTTGAAATTTTAATAAAAAGAAACACAAAATCGCGTCTGGCACATAGTTAGCATTGTCAAAAATGTCTGGCAATAAAAAAAGTATTTCAGGTAGACTTATTTAAAAACAAAAAATTAAAAATTACGCCTTCTAAAATTGTTTTTAAAATCCAGAATTATTACCTGGACAGGTAGGATGCGCACTAAAGAACGCAACCGCTACCGCCAGCCAGATAGCCCAGACGCTAACCGAAAGTGCAAGAAGGACGACATATCACAAAATCAGCTGACCTAAAATTCTTTCTCGAAAACGTTGCTAGCTCCTATACCATAGGTGGTGACTAGAGCGGCACGTTTCCTAGTGAAAGTAATTACTGAACACTTAGATGGGTTCAGATCGAGTTTATTAGCCCTACAGTAGTCTTCAAGACGATATAGATCAGCCTGAAGTGCTAATCCATCTTCAACCGATGATATTTTGGCAAAGATTTTCATGTCATCGGCGAAACACAGCAATTTGGATGATTGAAGGCACAGATCGATGTCGTTCACATAGATCACAAATAAAAAGGGCCTAAGTAACGAACCCTGAGGCACTCCGCTAGGCACTGTGACCCAACTAGATATATAATTATTGATCACTACAGCCTGCGATCTATTATTGATATATGAGGAAAACCACCTCAAGAGGTCCCCATGAATACCTATAGAGTTTAGCTTCTTGATCAAAGTGTCGTGATCAATACGATCGAATGCTTTGCTATAATCAGTGTAAACCAAATCGACCTGGCTACCATCATCCATAGCCTTAGTAATAAAATCATTAAACAAAATCAGATTAGAAGTTGTAGACCGTCCCCTTAAAAAACCACGCTGGGAGGAGCCAAGCGAAGGTGCAAGAGCAGGGTATAACTGATTATAAATAATACGCTCAAATAATTTAGCAATAATGCACAATTTAGGGCCTATAGTTAGTAACTTCAGTTTTAGACCCCTTCTTATAGACTGGTGTAATAAACGCAGATTTCCACACTCTGGGGACAACACTTTGAGACAAGGATTTGTCGCGCGTTTACACTACTGGGATAGATAACCAATACAAATATAATCAGAACAGCTAGTGTCACAAAAACGACTACTTACCCTAAAATGTCTGCTGAGTGCCCCCTTGGACTTGAAGGCCCGCGTGCACACGGTGCAGGGGTAGGGCCGCGCGGCGGAGTGCGTCTTCTCGTGCACGTGCAGGTTGCTGCGGTTGTAGAACGACTTGCCACACTGGCCGCACGAGTACGCGCGCTCCGCGGAGTGCGTGCGCTTGTGGTACACTAGGAACGCGTTGCCCTGCGGGGTCACACTTGTGTTTTACTTGAATTACTAGATGGACGGCCGTTGGTGGCACGGATTGCTTACCATCAGGTGATTAATTTGCTCGTTTGCTTTACTATGCCATAAAATAGTGACTTACCCGAAAACTCTTCCCACATATATCACAGACGTGGTTCTTTTCCACGGGGTATGGTTTGTCCGGGTGGACACGACGGAAGTGGGTCCAGTACTCACGGGCGCTGGGGATCTCTTCCTCACACTGACAAATAAGGAATAATACATTGATAGAACCTATGAGAAGCTAAGCAAACTAATGGTAGATTCATTATTCATACAATTATTTGTTCATTAGCTCCCCAAATCAAAATGTAATTAAACCCAATTTTATTTATTTATTTATATATAAAACCAATATCATCAACTATTATAGGTATATCTCGTCATCTTATTGGATACACCTACTTATAAAGGAAAAAATAATTAGGAAAACCATTGAAACACACAAAAGTTAAGGGTAGGTCAAACCTAGTAATACGTACATGTTCACACTTAGCGGGCCAGTTCCCAGTCGTGGGTTTCTTCCCATAGTTCTTGGGTCGCTTCCTGGTATGTTCCTTGCGGTGGTGGTGGCGCAACCCTTCCGCGTTCTCGAACGTCGCGCCGCATGTACGACAACCTTTACTGTTGAGATGAAATTTAATTTTTGTGTTAATATTTAATTCTATGTAGGTTTAAATAGTGTAATTTTATAAGAATAATATTAATGGGAGATTCGAAATCCTTATTTGAAACAAACTTCACGTCGCACTCCGCGCAGTAATGTCAAGCTAAACTAATCCTTATATCCACTTCCATAGAGTCCGTGCTCCGCGTGTGTTTGACCGACATGACCATGTGCCGCTTGTAACAAACTTCACGTCGCACTCCGCGCAGTAATGTCAAGCTAAAGTAATCCTTATATTCACTTACATAGAGTCGGTGCTCTGCGTGTGTTTGACCGACATGACCATGTGCCGCTTGTAACAAACTTCACGTCGCACTCCGCGCAGTAATGTCAAGCTAAAGTAATCCTTATATACCCTGCGGGGTCACACTTGTGTTTTACTTGCCGCACTGGCCGCACGAGTACGCGCGCTCCGCGGAGTGCGTGCGCTTGTGGTACACTAGGAACGCGTTGCCCTGCGGGGTCACACTTGTGTTTTACTTGCCGCACTGGCCGCACGAGTACGCGCGCTCCGCGGAGTGCGTGCGCTTGTGGTACACTAGGAACGCGTTGCCCTGCGGGGTCACACTTGTGTTTTACTTGCCGCACTGGCCGCACGAGTACGCGCGCTCCGCGGAGTGCGTGCGCTTGTGGTACACTAGGAACGCGTTGCCCTGCGGGGTCACACTTGTGTTTTACTTGCCGCACTGGCCGCACGAGTACGCGCGCTCCGCGGAGTGCGTGCGCTTGTGGTACACTAGGAACGCGTTGCCCTGCGGGGTCACACTTGTGTTTTACTTGCCGCACTGGCCGCACGAGTACGCGCGCTCCGCGGAGTGCGTGCGCTTGTGGTACACTAGGAACGCGTTGCCCTGCGGGGTCACACTTGTGTTTTACTTGCCGCACTGGCCGCACGAGTACGCGCGCTCCGCGGAGTGCGTGCGCTTGTGGTACACTAGGAACGCGTTGCCCTGCGGGGTCACACTTGTGTTTTACTTGCCGCACTGGCCGCACGAGTACGCGCGCTCCGCGGAGTGCGTGCGCTTGTGGTACACTAGGAACGCGTTGCCCTGCGGGGTCACACTTGTGTTTTACTTGCCGCACTGGCCGCACGAGTACGCGCGCTCCGCGGAGTGCGTGCGCTTGTGGTACACTAGGAACGCGTTGCCCTGCGGGGTCACACTTGTGTTTTACTTGCCGCACTGGCCGCACGAGTACGCGCGCTCCGCGGAGTGCGTGCGCTTGTGGTACACTAGGAACGCGTTGCCCTGCGGGGTCACACTTGTGTTTTACTTGCCGCACTGGCCGCACGAGTACGCGCGCTCCGCGGAGTGCGTGCGCTTGTGGTACACTAGGAACGCGTTGCCCTGCGGGGTCACACTTGTGTTTTACTTGCCGCACTGGCCGCACGAGTACGCGCGCTCCGCGGAGTGCGTGCGCTTGTGGTACACTAGGAACGCGTTGCCCTGCGGGGTCACACTTGTGTTTTACTTGCCGCACTGGCCGCACGAGTACGCGCGCTCCGCGGAGTGCGTGCGCTTGTGGTACACTAGGAACGCGTTGCCCTGCGGGGTCACACTTGTGTTTTACTTGCCGCACTGGCCGCACGAGTACGCGCGCTCCGCGGAGTGCGTGCGCTTGTGGTACACTAGGAACGCGTTGCCCTGCGGGGTCACACTTGTGTTTTACTTGCCGCACTGGCCGCACGAGTACGCGCGCTCCGCGGAGTGCGTGCGCTTGTGGTACACTAGGAACGCGTTGCCCTGCGGGGTCACACTTGTGTTTTACTTGCCGCACTGGCCGCACGAGTACGCGCGCTCCGCGGAGTGCGTGCGCTTGTGGTACACTAGGAACGCGTTGCCCTGCGGGGTCACACTTGTGTTTTACTTGCCGCACTGGCCGCACGAGTACGCGCGCTCCGCGGAGTGCGTGCGCTTGTGGTACACTAGGAACGCGTTGCCCTGCGGGGTCACACTTGTGTTTTACTTGCCGCACTGGCCGCACGAGTACGCGCGCTCCGCGGAGTGCGTGCGCTTGTGGTACACTAGGAACGCGTTGCCCTGCGGGGTCACACTTGTGTTTTACTTGCCGCACTGGCCGCACGAGTACGCGCGCTCCGCGGAGTGCGTGCGCTTGTGGTACACTAGGAACGCGTTGCCCTGCGGGGTCACACTTGTGTTTTACTTGAATTACTAGATGGACGGCCGTTGGTGGCACGGATTGCTTACCATCAGGTGATTAATTTGCTCGTTTGCTTTACTATGCCATAAAATAGTGACTTACCCGAAAACTCTTCCCACATATATCACAGACGTGGTTCTTTTCCACGGGGTATGGTTTGTCCGGGTGGACACGACGGAAGTGGGTCCAGTACTCACGGGCGCTGGGGATCTCTTCCTCACACTGACAAATAAGGAATAATACATTGATAGAACCTATGAGAAGCTAAGCAAACTAATGGTAGATTCATTATTCATACAATTATTTGTTCATTAGCTCCCCAAATCAAAATGTAATTAAACCCAATTTTATTTATTTATTTATATATAAAACCAATATCATCAACTATTATAGGTATATCTCGTCATCTTATTGGATACACCTACTTATAAAGGAAAAAATAATTAGGAAAACCATTGAAACACACAAAAGTTAAGGGTAGGTCAAACCTAGTAATACGTACATGTTCACACTTAGCGGGCCAGTTCCCAGTCGTGGGTTTCTTCCCATAGTTCTTGGGTCGCTTCCTGGTATGTTCCTTGCGGTGGTGGTGGCGCAACCCTTCCGCGTTCTCGAACGTCGCGCCGCATGTACGACAACCTTTACTGTTGAGATGAAATTTAATTTTTGTGTTAATATTTAATTCTATGTAGGTTTAAATAGTGTAATTTTATAAGAATAATATTAATGGGAGATTCGAAATCCTTATTTGAAACAAACTTCACGTCGCACTCCGCGCAGTAATGTCAAGCTAAACTAATCCTTATATCCACTTCCATAGAGTCCGTGCTCCGCGTGTGTTTGACCGACATGACCATGTGCCGCTTGTAACAAACTTCACGTCGCACTCCGCGCAGTAATGTCAAGCTAAAGTAATCCTTATATTCACTTACATAGAGTCGGTGCTCTGCGTGTGTTTGACCGACATGACCATGTGCCGCTTGTAACAAACTTCACGTCGCACTCCGCGCAGTAATGTCAAGCTAAAGTAATCCTTATATCCGAGTTCGGCGCGCGCGCTTGCCTTAGTCGCACGTCTTGCTTATAACCCCACCCAATAAATTCGCATCGCTACTAGTGATGGGAATACGCTCGATAAAAAGTTGTCGACATGGAGCGATTTCTAACACGTTCCAATTCTGTTGGAAAACGCCCTCTCGAAGGCCCCGTTAAAACCAGCGAATGGAAAATACCAAAAAGAACTGCGCATCGAGCCGAACAACGCCCAGCTGAGCCAATCAAGACATCCAACAGTTTTGGCAATCTGCCTGGCAACCAAACATTTGCTTCAGACTCCAGCACAAAATTCCGTGATGCCACCGTCGCACGAAAAACCACCCGCATTCCACCCATTGTTTTGGAGATAGAACCCACCTGGACGCACGAATTCATCAGAACCACCATAACGTCGTACTCAAAAAATTTTCACCTGCAGTACCGACGTAATAACCGAGTAGCTGTTATCTCCCACACGCCTGAGAGTCATCAAGCTATCAAGGATGGTCTACGAGCTGAAGAAATTGCCTTCCACACCTACTCACGTAAGGACGAGAAGATGTTCAAAGCCGTAATTTTTGGTCTTCCGAGTTATGTCGAGGATGTACTTTTGGCCGAAATCACATCGCTAGGGTACGAAAACGTCATTATTCGGAAAATGAAAGTGCCTGCGGAAAAATCTTCCTTCTGTCCTCCCTTTTTGGTACAATTACCACCTGGTGCAAATTTTGCCAAATTCCGACAAATAAGGCTCCTTTGCAATACAGTTGTTCAAATTCGAAAATACCGAAGCAACAATCGCTATGGAACCCAATGTTATAGATGCCAAGGATTCGGTCACTCATCTACCAACTGCAACTTAGCACCTCGATGCGTGAAGTGTACAGATCCCCATCGGACTGAAGATTGCCCTAAAAAGACTCGAGATCAGCCAGCCAAGTGTTGTAACTGTGGTGGAAGTCATCCTGCAAATTTCCGCCAATGTAAAGAGCGCGAAAATTATTTAAAGATCCTTCGTGAACGTCAAGATCAACTCAAAGCCGCCAGGACCATGAAAACGCCATCTAAGACAAACATGGTCGATGAAAGACCCTGGAACCTCGTCGCCTCTGCTAACACACAAAAAGCTACCATCACAGATAACACTCAAGATGCAACAACATCCGACATGCTAGCCATATTGATGACGATAAAGACGATCAAAAGTCAATTTATAGGTTGCACCAGTATGATGGATAAAGTTATTCTTATTCTAACACACCTTGGACAATATCGCACACCTAGATAAAGAGTAGCACAAATCGAAATAATCCAAAATCGTGTTATTACTAGTATACGAATCTACGTTGTAAACTGCATAAACTCCAAAGACACCTGTACAAAAATCTCTATTAGTAAAACTTTGATGGCCCCTTAAGTTAGTTTTAGTGAATTGCCCGCGCACCCCCTCCCGCCAACAACAGTAACACATCACCAGTTGCGACATGTCGGCCGACGGGATAGGTGCTGTCAATACGCACAAAGACAGGATTATTTCGAGTTGGTTTAGTATTCGTGATTAACTACGCTCACATTTCGTAAATTATTTTTAGTTAATCTGGTCTTGAATTAAACTCGTGCGTTTTTTTTGGGAGTTCTTCTGATTATTTCTACTTACCCGAGTATTAACCTACCAATGTAAGTATTTTTATATTATTAATTGAAAATAGTTTATTGTTGTTGAAATAATTTTACAATATTTGAGTTGGTTGTGTATTGCTGGTTAAATTTAAAATCACTCTTATTCTTAACAGAACAAAGCTAACGTTTATTTTGATTCATAAATATTTCGTGTTGATGTTGTATTTTTTAAAGAAAAGTAGCAAAATAAATTTATATGACGTATACTTCTGTTTACAGCATTTTTTTGGAGTTAGTATAGTATTCGTGATTTAAATCAAATTGTTGTTTTTTTTGTACAGATGATGAAAGGTCGTGGTCTTCTATTACTACAAAAAGCGATGGTGGCTAATTTACATGAACCTGAGAACAGTGGCATGGAGTTGGAGCCTGATCAGAACTTAACAACGCCTTCAACGAGCACCAAAGGGATGAACGAAATCTCAAAAACTGTGGAGTTAGAAAAAAGTCCATTACCGATACAATTACCGTCGACTTATCCCCAGGTGAGACCATCGTACTATATTTCACCGGTTAACAGCGATGGTAGCGATTTCGATGACTCGGATGCGGATCCGCATTTCAATTTACCTGCCAAAGAGGGAACGCGCCGCCAAACTGTCACCAATTCAAGAAAAACATCTCGATCCTCTAGTTCTATTTCAAGTTCTAGTTCAAGTTTTAGCTCATCTTCGGATAGCTCCAGCAGCTCTTCAAGCAGTAACTCAGAAATAGGAAATAATTCTGTGCCATCTGCCGAGCTGAATACTGCCAATGTTTCACACAACGATGTTGAAGCTTCCACCTCTCAACCAAATGCTAATCAACTTGCTGCAACTAGTGACCTTCGAAGATGCAGGAAAAGACTACGAAATCCTACAGCTTGGGCCTTAAATGTTAAGAAAGCTCTGCGAAATACTGGAAAGGCTTATGTAAGTTCCACCAAAAAGAGAGTCCTTGAAAGAGCGGTCAAACCTCCGTGTACCGACAAATGCAAATTGAAATGCAAGGATAAAATAAGTGAAATATTACGTAAAACTTTATTCGATAAATTTTGGGAACTAGGTGACCTTCAAAAGCAGAGGGAATTTATCGTGCGACACACTCAATACATTAAGCCTAAATATAGGTATAGCAGTACCCAAAATTTTAGGTCACTTAATTCTGCATTTTTCTTTGAGGTTAACGGCAATCTGATTAGAGTCTGCAAGATGTTTTTCAAAGCTACTCTAAATATAAGCGACCAATGCATTAGGACAGCTCTTTCTAAACAAAAAGAAGGTGGTTTTATAGAGGATGACAAAAGAGGCAAACATGGACAGCACTCAAAGATAGATAATGAAATAAAGGAAAGTGTCGTCACTTTCATCAACTCCATCCCTAGAGTAGAGTCGCATTACCTTCGAGCACAATCAACAAGAGAGTATATTACTAGCGAAAAATCACTTTCGGATTTATATCGTGATTATAAGGATCTACGTGAAAACGATAATTTACCATTTGCTTCATCATCAACCTTCAGTCGTATTTTCAATACACAATTTAATATATCTTTTCACATCCCGAAAAAAGATGCGTGTGACGTTTGCGAAACCTACAATAATTCTAATGAAGAAGCAAAACAAAACCTTTATGAGGCATATGAGCAACATTTAAAAGAGAAAGTACTATCTAGAGCAGAAAAAGAAGCTGACAAGAAAAGAAAGGATGTAGTTGTCGCAGTTTACGACCTGCAAGCCGTGATGCAAGTTCCCAAAGGTCAAGCATCCTTGTTTTTTTATAAATCAAGAATCAATTGCCTTAATTTTACAATAAGTGACCTATACGCAAAGGATGTATTTTGTTATTTTTGGGACGAAATTGAAGGTAAACGTGGTGCTGTGGAAATAGGATCTTGCGTGCTACAATATTTACAAATGTTAGCAGAAAACAATGCATCAGATACAGACCTGGATGTCATATTTTATAGCGATAACTGTTGTGGCCAACAAAAAAATAAATATCTCTTGTCGGCGTATGCTTATGCTGTAACAAAGATGAGAGTAAACTCAATTACTCATAAATTCTTGATTCGTGGTCATTCGCAAAATGAGGGAGATAACGTGCATAGCGTTATTGAGAAACAAATTAAACGATATACTAAGTCGGGTCCAATATATTGTCCACAACAATACGCTACATTGATAAGATCAGCTAAAAAGACTGGGAAACCTTATCATGTAGAAGAACTGACACATGACAAGTTCCATGATCTAAAAGCACTGCAAGAAGAATGGGGTTACAATTTCACTGTTAATGAAAACAGAGAACAAATTAAATGGCACGACATCAAACAACTCCGCGTTGAAAAGCATCAGCAGATGACTTTCTTTTATAAAACGTCTTATGAAGAGACGGTTTTTAAGAAAGCGTTTGTGAGAAATCACAGACGAGCTCAAGATCACCAATTCTCTCCTAGTTTGAAACCAGCGTATTTGCAAAAAATACCGTTAGGTGCGAATAAAAAGCGCGATATTATGGAATTGATTAATAAGAAAATTATCCCCCAGATTTACGTAGATTCTTATTTCAAAAATGCATTAGCTTTAGAATAATTGTTCAGTAGGTATGAGTACAGTAATTCTTCTTTAATTCTAACTTCTTCTCACGTATTTTGATATTGATGGTTAAAAAGAAAGTACCTAATAGTTATAATTATAATTATAATGTTCCTAATTAAAGTCTGATTAAAATAAGGTAGTTTTAAGTAAGTCCTTTGGTGATTAAATCACTATTTACTTTTTGATCTCGATATTGTTGATTATATTGTAACATGTAAGTTCAAAAACAAAGTCTGATTATAGTTAAGTATTTCAGATGTCTTTTTTTATAGTATTTTTTGGCAATACATGCCTAATAAGAAAGTATGTGTAAGTTTTAAATGAATGAAAGAGTGTATAATTCCGTTTGTTGTACTGATTTACGAATAATACTAGTTGAAAAGTAATAAGTGTTCATGTTTTGCTAAAGAAGAGCTGTGTTTTATTTTATAAAAATATTTTTATAAGAAATGTTACCTTTGTTGAATATTTTGTTTAGGTTTATCCTATAGATTTTTTGTACGCTACATAAAAATAAATAACGTTAATTTTTGGAAGACATAATTTTGTTTTATTTTTTATTTTATACTGAAAAAAAAACACACAATTTAGTTATGTTACTATGTTTGATGGATATTAGATCTAAATTAAACAGATTAAAAGTGCACTAATTCAAAAATATTCAGTAATATCAACATATTTGGAGTTGGTAAAATTATTACGCAATGATTTTGTCATGATTACTAACTTAACACAAAATATTAAAATTGACAAGAGATGCTCCTACTTAATGACAAACTATTATTCAAATAAATATCTTAATCAAATTATATACAAGAATGTATAAGTTTTTTTTAAATATATCAAATACAAATAAAGTAAAACGTTTTTTTCCATTCCTGAAAAAATGTATATTTTGAGTTGTGCTACTCTTTATCTAGGGGTGCGATATGTTTGAAACACAAACTTTACGCATACTCTACTGGAATGCTGACGGCATTCGCTCAAAAATCGCGGAACTGATGGATCTGGTAAGCGAGCTTTCTATTGATATCGTAGCTTTGTCCGAGACTAGAATATCCCCCCATAGCAAATTATATGCTCCAGGTTTCTCTTGCTACCGCTGCGATAAGAAGCCTGATGGCCACGGCCAGGGAGTGGCAATCTTAGTCAAGTCGGATATAGAACATTACCTTCTTAATATACCCATAACTCAAAATATAGAATGTGTTGGAATAGAAATAGTTGTATCAAATCGAAAAATTGCCATAATTTCAGCTTATCAGTCACCTAACCTGGCTTTATTACCAACAGACTTAGATAAAATAATTAATGTTCACTCCAAAACTTTAATAATGGGCGATCTTAACACCAAACACCCATACTGGCACTGCACTCACTCCAACATTCACGGCGAGGTACTCTTTGATCACATGATACACAACGAATACGACATCCTTGCGCCTTCGCGTCCCACTTTAGTCCACTATCACAGTACGTATAAACCATCTACGCCCGATATTCTGTTAGCAAACTCTGTCTACCAACTTTCAGAGCCTCAGGTAGTAACTGCCCTTTCTTCTAACCACTTACCTGTTTACTTCACCGTAAATGGGGCTGTTAACAAACAAACGCGCGTCATATTCAATTACTCAAAAGCAAACTGGAAAGCCTACAGATGTCACATGAATGACTCTATAACCTTAACCCAAAGCACTTTTGATACTCCCCAGGAAATAGACTTTGCACTTGAAAATCTAACCCAATCAATCTCCAATGCAAGAAACAAAAGTGTTCCTAAAATAATCTCTAATAGTGGTAACAAACTTCCACGACGGCTCAGATCACTAACAAAAATTAAAAATCGGTTACGGAAATTGGCACTAGACGAACACAATTCATTCGAGCGTCGTCGGCTGTTCTCACAAGTCAACCAAATGCAGAAATGCATCAAATCAAAGATCCAAGCTCTAAACGACAATGTCTGGAATAATAAATTAGCCAAAATAACCAATCCCACCGCAGACTTGTGGAGAGTGGTCAAATCACTGAACCATCAGCCTATTACAATACCTCCTTTAAAAACGACAAATAATACCACTGTGTCTTCCGCACCTGAACAATGTGAAGCTCTAGCAAATGCCTTTTTAGAGAATATGAACCTAACTAGACACTGGGTCAGTGATTCTGGCACTGAAGAGGCAGTCAAGGATTCGATTAGACTTTTGGACTCTTACCAGATGGATGAGTACCCCACTTTCACCAGGCCGCACGAAATCCGTAAATTATTAGGAAAACTAAAACCTAACAAAGCTCCTGGTTTTGACGGCCTGGGAAATGGTTTATTGAAAAACCTACCTCAAAAAGCAATAGTTTATTTGACTAAAGTTTTCAATGGCTGTTTACGTTCTGCTTACTTCCCTGATGCACTGAAACACGCTAAGATTATAGCTATTAAAAAACCTGGTAAAGATGATTCTATACCATCTAGCTATCGTCCAATTAGTTTATTGCCAAGTATAGGGAAACTTCTTGAAGCAATCATCTTAGCCCGCCTCACGAAAAAGACTGCACATCAGTTAATTCCTGAGCAATTTGGTTTCCGTAGCTCACATTCGACTACACAACAACTAGCCAGAGTAGCAGAACACATAAGTGATGGGTTAAACCGCGGCCTTTCCACCGGAATGATTTTATTAGACATAGAAAAAGCTTTTGACTCTGTTTGGCACGATGGCCTTTTGCACAAATTAATGAGATATGAAGTACCGCTCTGTCTGGTAAAACTCATTCAGAACTACCTTAGCAATCGATCTTTCTCCGTGTATGTGGGAAATGATCATTCTGCCCCTAAGATCATCCCTGCTGGTATACCCCAGGGCTCGCTCGTAGGTCCGTACGGCTTCATCCTGTACCTGAATGATATACCTAAACAAGCCCATACCCAGCTTGCTATTTATGCTGATGATACGGCAACATTTACGACCGACAAAGACATTGACATCATCACTGGACGGCTACAATATTCACTGGAGCTACTCAGCAAGTACTTTAAAACCTGGAAACTTAAACTGAACTCAACAAAAACCGAAGGCATCTTATTTACCAGAAAACGCATAATTCCTACTAAAGTTGTAACCATCGATGGCTTCCAGATAACATGGCAAGTATCAGTTAAATATCTAGGTGTAATTTTGGATAAAACACTTAACTGGAACAAAAACACGGAACATATTATAAATAAAGGTACAAAAGCTCTAAACTCGTTAAAACCCATTCTGAATCGAAAATCTGTTCTCAGTCCCTCAACCAAATTACGTATTTATTCTGCATTAGTTAGACCTTGCCTAACTTACGGTGCTCCAGTTTGGTCTAGTCTGACAGACACTAAATATAATAAACTTCAAACTATTCAAAATAGAGCCCTAAAAATATCTTATAACACACCATTTCGTACTAACCTTAAAAAATTACACAAACAACTCAAATATCTACCTATAAAAGAATTCATTTTAAAAACATCACGTAAATTTTATTTACTTAAAAATCCATCGCACTATAACAGTTTAATATCAGCAATTGCTAAAAGCAGACTCAGTACGTTATCATACACCCGCACGTACAATCGATATCGACTGCCCCATCACTACTTCCTCCGTGACGTATCATGACGATTGCTCGCTTGCCAGGCGACGCCGCTCGCACGGCCGGTTTATGCGTGATGTTTTTTGTGGAACCACCCGCAACTTACCTCACATTTGTTATAATAGTTGCAGATTTTTATAACAGCTTGCGATTTGTAACTTATATATTTTAAATATTATGTGGGTCCATTCTAAGACTTTCACATACCACTTACTTATATCTATATTCAAGTTAATATCAGTGTAAAATTAAAATTTAATAACAATATGTTCTAATGTTTATAAAGGCGGTACAGCCTGTGTAACGAAATAAATTATGGTAAGTTTACAAATAGAATAAGATCGTTTGTAAACACTGATTGTAATCATATTTAATATTAATAAAGAACTTGAAAAATCAATCAATCAATCAATCCTTATATCCACTTACATAGAGTCCGTGCTCTGCGTGTGTTTGACCGACATGACCATGTGCCGTTTGTACGCTACGCTCGACACAAACTTCACGTCGCACTCCGCGCAGTATGGACCGTCTTCTGCATTCTCTTCTGGTTTCTCCTGAAAATAAGCATGTGACTAACTTCAGTGAATGTCGAGTTAATAAAGCAAAAAACAACATTATGAAAAAAGTCGAAAGCGACAGGTATTTCACTAAAAAAGGACTTATTTAGTTAGTGCTGCTATCTATCAAATATAAATACAATGGTTGCTTTGAACAAAGAACTTTAAAAGTAATGGAAATTAAGGAAATAATGTACCAAAACATCTTTATGCATCATAGTCTTGTGCATGGCGAGTCCTAGTTTGCTGATGAACGAGTATCCACAGATACCGCAGATGAACTCCGACGGGTGCTTGATGCGAGTGTGACTCATGTACGATGTCCATACACTTGAAACATACATAGAATCGTTATTTTTCCGTTTTATGAGTCTTAGGCCCAAGTGTTCATAAATATTTCGATTATTTTTAATTATACAGAATTATAGATAAACGAGTATGAATTTGAAATAAAGTATTATTTATAGGACACTTACTTGAAAATTTCGTTGCAATATTTGCACTTGAATGTTACTCCTTTATGCCATCCTTGATGCTGTTTTGCTTGTGTCCTGAAAATTCCTTATTCAAATAAGATCGTAGTATTCTACAACTCATGTAAAGCTTTCGATCACTATTTTGTATTTAAGTATGACACTACATCTAAATAAATTTAAAAAAAGCTACAATTATTATCCCTTGGCCTTTATTTGGCCCCTAACCTAAACTTCACAAATAAATATTAAGTCAAATATAGTATCCATAAGTGGAAAGACAGTTATCGGAATGCCTCAAGGAAGCACTTTGGGTCCAATACATTTTGTACTTAGATTTTATTGGAATAGTTTGTCCTATAAAAACCCTTTTCTGTCCCAAATATAATGATATACTTACGTATTGGTTGATACATAAGGGCAGGATTTACACGCGTATCTCTTTTCATGACCAGATGCATGTTTTTGATAAGCACGCTTTGTTTTGAACCGAAATTTGCAAACATCACACTCTAAGCTGCCTGCAGCCTAGAATAAAAAGAAAATGTGAGTCGAAAAACTTAGAATGGAAATGAAAAAGATATGGGTAAACAGAAATAGACGATTTATTACCTCTGAATGTTTGCTAACATGATGATTCCAAGCATTATTATCAATGAACCCTTTGTAGCATAGATTGCACTGGTATGGAGAATTTAAGTAGTTTGAAGATTCCTTTCTTTTCATTACTTCTGCTTTCTGCTCTTCCACCTAAAAGTAAGTTTATTCTTTAAGAAGTTTCTAGCTCTAATTAATGTATTAAGGCTTGCATCTAGATTATTTTTACAGAAGCTTTTGTAGGTATTGTGCACCTGAAATTATTTATCTTTCGCTCAATGGAGTGATGAAATATAATATGCTAAAGAATGGGAATTTATTGATAAAATATCACATACTGTCAGAGTTATAACAGTAATGTACTGATCAAAATCATCCATGTTCTCTGCAGACAAACTGGGGTTTGACAACATTTTGACATGCTTGAAAGCACCACTTCTACCATTTTTACGATGTTTCTTTTTCAGCTTTTTAACTTTCTTTTCTTCTAAAGCATCTACTGAATTCCCTTCATCCAGGGCTGCTCCAAACTGTAAACAATGTTTTACTACATCAATGAAAACTGCTTTAAAGCAAGTTAGTGTACACAAAATATTTGAGTTGGATGGTGCATTTACCAAAGAAGCTTATAGGCTGTAAAACATCACACTAAGATCAAAAGGAGACAAGTAGAGCGGATGAAACCGTGCGGGAGTAGGTAGTATTACGAATAATTTAATTTTTTCTCTACTCACTTCGTCACAATCAAAGTTATTCTCAAACATATCCTCATCAGATTCTTTATTTTTAAGCTTTTTCTCTTTATGTATCGAAAGAGGTTCATCATCGTCACTCGAGACACTATGGTCTATCTGGTCTATGCTTGCATAGTTATGGTCCTCTACTTTAACTTTATCATCTTCACAATCTTCCGGTTCTATTTTTACAAACTCATTGCTGGTATTGTTGCATGTTGTATCTATGCTCTCTAGGCGAGTGATGATGAGATTTGATGAGATATTAAATTCTTTTCTGTTGATTGCTCTGACTTCAGCTGGGTTCAACTGAAATGTAAGACAAAAGTGTTAAAAACTTGATCCATAGAATCATACCTAAATAATTATTGGAACCATAAAAAGGCAGCAGTCTGGTCATTTAACTACTTGAATCACTATAGAAAATACATTTTATCTTGCATAGCTCTGTTCCGATACACCACAGGTTACAACAGAGATTCTGAAAAAAGTTTACAAACCTTCCCATAAATATCTGTTATCCCATTCAGAACATCTTGATTCCGTAAACATTTCTGCCTAAAATTGTAAAATTTCTTCACAAGAGCTGCACACTCAAAGCAAGCATAGGGTGGCAAGTTGCAGTTAAGAGGCTGGAATCAAATAAATAAAAATGATAAAAAAGGTTTATTACATATTTAGTAGTTTCTGCAATGTATAATGTATAAAACATTAGCGTATTGATTTTGGACTAGCCACTATAGAACGTGAGGCAAGTTAACAATCGTTGTTTGCTTTTCAGTTTTAGTCCATAAAAATGTAAACAAAAAAAATCAACTTACATTGGTTCCGATTACAAAGTCGTAGAACGAATTCAGAGGAAACAACCGTAAATCGTGCATTTTCACGTCCATAGCTGAACAAATACGACACACTTGTAAGAAATCCATCTTATAATATTATTTCGTCCAATAGACCCAAATTGAGTTTCATAGATTCGCGGCGATCCGGACGATAGAGTTATAAAATATTAGAACTTCTAGGAATTTGTTCCATTATTTGAAAACGGACACAAAATGTTTCGAGCACCCCACAAATAGAGAAAGTTTACTGATATATATTCCATTTTAAGTTAATACTCATAAATTACTACACATTATCTGGTATTGAAAAATAAAATACGCATAGAACGTCTAATTTTATGAAAGACGCCAACTCTGCAGCCATATTTGTTGTTTGTTGACAATTTGACATCAGTTGAATCGTCGAAGGCCATTATTTTACTCAAAAAATTAACATAACAATATTTTTTCACTTAAATTTGCGTTATACATGTGCTGTAACTAAAGTTTCTAATTAAAAACAACAACTTGTGCATTTGATTTTATTTTTGAATCAAATCATCGTGGTTTATTTAAAAGACCTTCAATCACATTTCCGAATTACAGAAAACATGTCATTATATGCGGATTTGACGTTAGACAATGACATTGACATTTGTGTCACAAAGAGATCGGAAGCTTGTCCTTACTTGTTCAGTTTTTATAGAAATTAAAAATATTAATCAATACTTTAGTAATTACTTCATGAATTAAAGTTAAACTACAGTCATGAAGTAAGTTAATTACGTTTGTGGACGTTAAATGACAACAGTCTTGTAGTTTGAGGTTATGTTTATGTTGTATGTAACTGTTTTGAATTCGTTTGCAGGCTAACAGTGGACGGTCTTCTTGTTTATTTCCCTTATGATTACATTTACCCTGAGCAGTATGCGTATATGTTGGAGTTGAAACGAGCTCTAGACGCTAAAGTAAGCTATTGTTTTGTATTAAAATTGCCGCAACCCGCAAGTATTTTTACAATAGCCGCTTTAACTTATACATAATATTTTTTTTTGTGTATAGGGCCATGGACTACTGGAGATGCCATCAGGAACAGGAAAGACCATATCCCTCTTATCTCTAATTGTAGCATACATGATACAGAATCCTCATCATGTCAGGTAACTATATCTCATTTACTTTTTCATCTTCCAAGCAATTGCAGACAAGACATGCAATTGATTCTGCCGAAAATGCTGTGATCCAAACAATGACATAGGTACCTTAAATTGCTTCCATAATAAATAATGGGAGTCTTAAATTTTGAAGATACTGAGAATCTCGCTTCTCTTCTTCTTTTTTGATATTGAAGATTAGTTCAAAGAACCATAAAAAAAGAACCATACATACATACATTAATAAACATACATACATTACCTTATGCCTGTCTCCCATGGGGATAAGCAGAGACTATTGAATGCCAATTGCTAAAATTTTTAAATAGCTCTTTGGCTTCATCAACACTCATTTGTCTTTTCATGCATGCTCATTGGTTAAGGGTACTTAATTTGGTCGTTGTTTAAGTGAACCAAAAAGTATTTATGAAAACAAATAATTAAAATTAAAATTTCCTTCTTTCAGAAAACTCATCTACTGTTCCCGTACAGTGCCAGAGATTGAGAAGGTTCTAGAAGAGCTGAAGAACCTCATAAAGTATTATGAGAAGTCTCAGGGAGAGAAACCAAGCCTCACAGGAGTGGTTCTCTCCTCCAGGAAGAATCTCTGCATACATCCTGATGTAAGTACTTAACATAGACAAATACAACATCATTATTGTTTTATTTTTTATCTATGCTCCACAAGAATTTCCTCAAGTGCTGTTATTGTATTTCCAAACACATAGCATCCAGATCTCCAGGTCTATTGCTCATAGATGCTGGCATGCAAATCATTGAATGACTGGAGAAAAAAAATCTGGAGATCTAGTGTTTCAATTTCAACAGTAAGCGACAAAATATTAATAATAATTTATTATTCAGTAAAAACTTCCTTTGCCTACACAAATAAGAATTAAAAAGTTATTTAGTTTTGATTGTGGTTCACCCACATAGACAAAGATAAAAAGTACCCATCTAGGCTCCTAACTATTGTATGCCTTCTAAACTGTAGTTTTAATTACAATTTTGTTCTAGGTTTCAAGAGAAAGGGAAGGCAAGTTGGTGGATGGTAAATGCCACTCACTCACTGCAAGCTACATCAGAGAGAGACATGAATCCGACAACTCTGTGCCCATATGTATGTTGTATTTTATTTCTTATATCTATGGTTATATATCTATTGTTTTTTTAAGGGGGGGGAAATCATTGAATGACTGCTCCCGCCTAGGTGAGGCAGGAGGGAGTGTCAGACTCTTACTGACTAAAAACCACCCCGTTCCTTCTCCTGCACGTCGAGCCGGAGTCCCGGTAACCCGTTAGGTTCTCCGCGACTCCGAATCGGCATCGGCTTTATTGTTTAGTTTACAATTATTGATACTAAAATTTAAGTAAAAAGTTCTCATTGCAACAGCCAGTGACGTGACAGTCCGCTAATGGTTCATAAAGAGCCTCATCTACATCAAAGGGTTAGTGATTGCAATTTTGATCAATCCCCAAGCAGTCACCGTGGCCACTTTGCCCTCACTCTGTTATAGACCTTATTTCCGTTGTTTAGAGAATACTTTTGTATGAAAAAAATTTGGGGATTTTGGTACAATGTCTAAAGTGATGTGACCGACACTTCTAGGTTTTGGTCACTCTATTTATATTTTATAAAGCTAAACTAGTAGATAAATTCACAAATAAATGATCACACAGGACTTTTTCCAATGAGGGAAAGGTTTATCAGCAAGTTGTTGCTTAGGCTCTATTGAATGTGTAGTCTTACAGTCAACTTGCACTGAAGAGATAAAAAAATATATCTCGTTCGACACCATACAGCATAAATTATGAAGTTCTAAAAGGTTTTTAAAACGGATTAGAAATATCTTAATTATACCACTGTCCAGAATTTAAAATAAAATAGGGTAGATGACAAATTTTTATTTTAATGTCCGTCTGTTAGATTATTTTAAAACATTAGACACGTATTTTTTATCTTTTTACAGAAACGAATACTTTCGACGATATATTGATCGATAAAAAAATATGTGTCCAATATTTTTTCATTGCCTAACTTACGGACTAATTAGGTTTTTAATTTTCATACTCTGTCATCATCCCTATTAAAAGATGTTTAGCACTACTATTGATAAAGTTATATTTTTGTTCTCCCAGGTCAATTCTACGAAGGTTTCAACCGTGAAGGCAAGGAGTCGATGTTACCGTACGGTGTTTACACCATGGACGATCTGAAACAATATGGCGCCGACAGAAATTGGTGTCCGTACTTCCTGTCTAGGTTTGCTGTAAGTTAGAAATTATCTATCTAATCATGATATATTGTAAAAGAATTTATTGACGTACTTCAAAATGTACATTTACATCTAAAACAGTTACCTATCACCTTACATGACACCTTATAAAACAACAATTTTACAGGTCTTAATATGATTTTTCATCAGATTATTCATGCTGAGATCGTGGTCTACTCGTACCATTATCTCTTGGACCCGAAGATAGCCGAAGTAGTGTCCAAGGAGATGAACAGGGAAGCTGTAGTGGTGTTTGATGAAGCCCACAACATAGACAATGTGTGCATAGACTCGTTAAGTGTGAAGGTCACTCGGAGGACCATAGATAGAAGCACTATGGCTCTACAGCAGCTTGAGAAGACTGTGGCTCAGTGAGTAAAAGTCTATTTCATTATGTGTATTGTTTCTAGTTGGTTAGTTTCGATGCGAATGTCAAGTTGTTAAAGAGTTTTTGAGACA